CCCCAATTCCTGAGTGAGTGCTGTAAACCAACAATAAAATTCTACACCCCCCAACTGCCTGAATGGATTCCCTCTTGGCCAAAGGAATTTTGAAAAAACTTAAAAACTTAGTTCAGGCCATGACAGGAAGTGGGGCATGGGCCATGCCTCATGATATCCTCTCCCTTCTGGAGCTTAGACACAACTGACCAGCATTAACATTAAAACAGAATCCTGAGACTCACAGGACAGACTCTTAGCAATAAAGATACCAACTCCAACCTGACTCTGGTCTAACATCACATGAGAGATAACTGGCCCTAAAGGAAATGAAAGTATTTTACCCTCAAATATGTTTATTTGACATATTTTGGAATGGCCCTGCAAAGCCATCTCTTGTGGGGAAAATTTATATCCTGCAGAGATTCCCTTCCCTTTCTAGGCCTTTTACTGATCTAGGAGAGATTTAACTAAGAGTCCCACACCTTCTAAGGTCTGATGAAATACATGTACTATCTATTCTCTCTGGAGCCTGTTACCTGAAGGCTTCATCCACACCTTGGCTTCCACAACCCACCTTATCTTAACCCCAAGCATTTCTCTCCGCTGACTTCAACTCTTTAGGCAAAGTTTTACTCTTTCAACCAATTGCCAATCAGGAAATCTTTTAACTGACCTTACCCTGCCCCTACCAATGTATACCTGACATGTACTAATTTATGTTTTTGCCTGTAACTTCTGCCAGTACCTTGGATAAAAGCAAGCTGTAACCCAATCACGCTGGGCACCTGTTCTCGGGATCTCCCAGGACTATGTCATGGGTCATGGGCAAAACTGAGGTTCAATAGCAATGGGCCTCAGGTAAGGGACAGAACTGTCTGGTTTCTTCATCCCAACTCTTGTATCTTTCCCCGGACCAAACGGCCTCAGGTCTTTGGCTCAGAGAATTTCAAGCAAACTATTACTTCCTCCTCAGAGGTACTTGGAAGCTCCATTTTATCACAGAAGGTCTAAAACCAACAAGAAATAGTTCTGCCGATCAGATCTATAGCCCCAACCAGCCGAACCCAGGTCCTACCAATGCTCCCAAAGTCTCAGAGCTATACTTTCTTAAATGTTCCAACACAGGAAGGAACAGTTCCAGTTGGTTTCCTTCATTACACTGCCTGGCCTTCTCTATATGTCCAATTTCACTTCCTACAGCTATCAAGGAAGAAAAAAAGAGAATTACTTAGATGAGACTTACATTAAAAGAAGAAAGATAACCTGGCTTCACCACTCTCAAAACACCCCACTATCAGTGAACAGCGGCCTCTTCTCTTGAGGGACTTCTCAGCCACTCCCCACGGCCTTCTCACCACCGCCTGAATTGTGTACCTGGCTCTTCAGAGCCACAGCCTGGCTTTAAGCCATCCAGCTGCCGTACCAATTGATGGGTCATGTTTTTTCAATTGGAAAAGAATGACACAGTTATCTTCTGATTCAGAAAGGCAGCTGATCCTTCAGACATGTGAGTGCTGACTGAGGAAACAGCATCTCTGTCCACCTGAGGAAAGCTGGATTTCTGTGACAGGTGGGGTGGTGGGGGATTGGAGCTTTGAAGCAATTAAATACCAGATGAAGGGTGAGAAACTTGTAGCTTGTGATTCCCAGACTCAGGGCTAGTGGATGAGGGCAGAGCTGGAGTCAGTGAACACTGGGAATCTTTCTTTCCTCCCTCCTTCCTTCCATCCAATAACACCTACCTTCCCTATATTCTTGTCCCATGTCCCAGAGGATTCTAACAAGGACCAAACTCTGAATGAATGAAAACAGGAAAGTTGCCTGACCCAGTCACCATTGTACCTAGAACAGTGCTTGGCACACACTGGTGCTCAAAAAATAAGCTGTTGAATGAACCGATTAATAAAATGAAAACAAGGCACAGGGCAAGTATCTCCATTTCACACACTGGGAAGTTGGGGTATGTAGCTCTTAAGTGCTGGGGCCACTGTGGACCTCCTTCCACTAAGCCAAGCTGCCAATAAGGCTGAAAACAACTTAAATATCCTGCATATGAATGGAAGGACATTGAAGGTAAACAGCATTTAGTTTTCAGAGGAGTAAGACTATAAACGGCAAGCAGAGACAATGTTCTTTAGGACCCTTTAATACTGTGGTCAAATGGCCCACCCATCTGATGCTGGGTCCTTAGGATTCAGAGAAAATGTGTCCCCAAAAGCCCTCAGGAAACTATAAATGCTGAGCATGGGACTTGGGTGCCTCTGGAATGTCCTTCTGCCTCAGCTACTCTGAGATAATGTGGTTCCCTGTGTTCAGGGAATCCAAATGGCCGAAAGTCAATGAGCCAGTGCTTGCAAGAAAAGAAAGCGATTCAAGAGCCTCTGTACCTACCCAGGCCTCAGCCTCCCCAGGACCTATTCATCTATACTCTTCACAACAGGTAACACTGCCTCTGGCACCCATCGTGTCCTCCGAATTCAGCATCAGGAGTGATCTGCCATCAGCTCTGGCAGGGAGCGGCCCTTACAAGTGCCAGAAAAAGGAACATGGACAATGTTCTGCGACCACAGCAGAGACAATGTTCTTTAGGACCCTTTAGAAACCTCCTGGAGGCTCTCCAGGGCCAGAACAGCAGCCAGAAGGAAGTGATAGCTTCCATCATCCTATGCTAAGTGAGCTGAGTGAGTGGCCATCTCTCACCTTCCAGGTATTTGAATGATACCTTCCATTCCAGCAGCCAGCACAAGTCATTTAATATGAATGCCAGAAACACAGTCGCTGTGGACAGGTACAGGAGACCAGACGCCAGGAAAACCCTCCGGCCCAATCCACAATTTGGGGACAGCCCACTGCTCCTCCAACCTCATTTACCACCTGAGGCCCTAGGCCCACCAGTCACGCTGCTCAGTCTCTAACTGCTAGTCTGAGTGAGCACCTACATTTGGCTGTTGAGGGGCAGTTGGTGGAGTTGGCAGGAGACTCTGCACCAAGTTCTCAGATTGAATGGGAGTTGGGTCGAGGAAAGGAATGGACGCAGAGTTGGGGTGAAGAGCTGCGGTGGCGTCAGGGAGGGTGAAAGGACATGGAGATGTCATTTTTAACAAGATTGGGTGAGGGTGGTAGGAAAGGAGGCAGCAAGAGTTCAGGACAGTTTAGCAAAGACTTAGGGATGGGTGTCCTCAGTACGGCAGGAGTCGGAAAGGAAGTATACAGTGGGCTAGGAGGCTAAGACGAGAAGACACAGTTAAGACTTGGAATAAGGCTGAGATCGGAGTTACCCAGAAGAAAGCGGTGAGCTCAACAGGGCACCTACTTTGGGGCAGGGCCTTAGATGAGAGGGGGCAGAGGTAGAGTGTTTGGGATCAGCAGACCTTGGGGAGCTGGACAGGTGATGGGGGTGACTGGGATAAGAAAGCTGAGCCAGAAACGGAGAAATCCGAATACTGGGTCTCCGGCAGGTGAGCGCGGAGCATCGGAGTTACCAGAGGGGTCGGGAGAGAGGACGAGGTGTGTTAGGGCGAGGCGAATGACGTGGCCGAGATCGGGGTTGGAACTGGGGTATAGTGGGGTCACGAGTGAAGCTGCATTTACGCAAGACCGCTGGTGAGGGGATGCGGGCGAGGGCGCGGGGTGGAACAGACGGGGCGGACGGGCGCGCAGCGGCGGTGCGGGGGGAAGGCTGGGTGGGAGCCGGGAGGGCGCAGGCTGGGCAGGGCTGAGGGCTCTGAAGCCGGGCAGTCTCAGGGCAACCAGGGCTGGGGATTGTGGGGGGAGCGGGAGGCCCACCCGCCCGTTAGGGCCTCTGCCCCGCCGACCCTCCACCGCCCTTCTCACCTCTTGACCCCCTAACTCACCAAACGGAAAAGGGAGCGAGGCGGGGGGCGCTCCCGGTTGCGGCAGCTCCTCAGCCTCGGAGCAGAGGTTGCGGCCTCTCGGCCACTGACAACAGGAAGCGGCACCCGCGACTCCTCGTCAGGAGCCGTCACGCTCGCTTGGCGCTCAGGACCCGCCGAAGCCCCGCCCCCGGCCCGCGGTGCCAATCACGGGGCCCGAAGGAGCCCTGGGGCGGGGCCAGCTGCTCGCGGAAGTCCCTGGGAGCCGAACCCCGGACCAGATTCTTGGTCCGGGAGGCTCCGGACCCCGGGGCGCCGGCCGGGCGCAGAGAGGCGAAGGCGCCGGTGCCAGGCGGAACGCCTCCGTACCGCTCGCCTCCCGCAGGTCTGCGTCAGACTAGATCCTGGCTTCTGGGCTCCTGACCTCGCTTGGCCTCAGCACCATCTGTGCAATATTGGGGCTGTCACTTCGCATCCCTCGAAGAGTTCCCACTTGTGAGCGGAACTAATAACGCCAGCCCTAGCTTTGCCTGCCCGAGGGCAGCAGTGCAGCCCTTGGGGCGGAGCCTCCGCCTCGCGCTTTCAGGAAAAACATAGCTGTTTTAAGCACACCTTATCCCAAGGGAACGCCTTGAGGTCCCCTTGGGCACTCTCCTGTGTGTAACTCGCCCTTTAGCCACGCGTGGCGCGAAGCTTAGGGGCCCGGTTATTCTCTTCTAGCCATGTAGAGAATTTCTCTCTTCCTTTCTGTTTTCGTTTTTGAGACAGGGTCTCTGTCGCCCAGACTGGAGTGCAGTGGCACCATCACCGCTCACCACACCATCGACCTCACAGGCTAAAGGGTTCTCCCACCTCAGCCTCAAGTAGCTGGAACTACAGGCATGCACCACCACGCCCAGCTAGTGTGTGTGTGTGTGTGTGTGTGTGTGTGTGTGTGTGTGTGTGTGTGTG